ATGCACTCAACTACATGCACAACTTTAGGATGTAAAGGCTAGGTGGGTTGAATCTCAAGATGCTACTCTTGCTGCTACCGAGCGCGAGTCTGCTCTATTGAACGAGCAAATAATTTGGAGGTAGCTTTGAACTCCTAAGCTGAAGAGGATTATATTGCCGAGGATAAGTGGGCCCGGAAGGATGATAGGTATAAGATGATCATGGATCAAAATAAGGTTCGCATAACTACAATCCGTGATCTTGATCTTAGCGTTAGTGCCATGAGATCCGAACGGGATTGCCTATATGCTTAAAGCAAAACTTCAGCACCAAGGGGATTCCCTCATTATTGAAACAATATACTCTATGTACCATATGAGGGGGAAAACCATGAAAGAGGCCAAAGCGGGCGTTATTAATGTCAATGATGAGATCGTCAAGGCCCGAACGCTGGAGTTAACTGCTCTAGAATGTCTCCTGGCTCTGCCTGATGCAATTGACTCTTCTAGCGCCGGTTCTGAGATTTTGGGAACTGAGGAGGAACTTGAAGAGAATTAAATTGAAGGCCAAGATCCTGCACCGACGGCAGATCCGCCTATTTCACCCGGGGGTGTAGATGCCTTTCTTCCCCCGAGTTCTAGCGGCGATGAAGTTTAGCCTTTTTGATTTTTTTTTCTTTTGTTGTTTTCCTTTTGTATTTTGTACTTATGCTGCTTGTCATGTTTGATAAGTAAAAAGGACCTTTTATTTAAGCATTGCACAAAGTTCATTCTTTTTGTGTCGAATTAAGTAAGGCTTCTGGTGTTTTTTCTTCCGATAGCTTTTGGGTTCTAGCATAAACTCTTCCGAAACCAACCCTTTACTATGAGGGTTTAATAAGAGAGGTCCCTCTTATGTTTACGGTGCTTTTGAAGAGGACGTCTCATGTTCATTCCAGCACTAGCATTTGAAATTTTAGTTAACTTTCAAATGATAAAATCAATTCATTATTTGGACAAGAAACAAGATAAAAATAACAGGAGTTCATTTTATTCCTTATATCTTTGAAAGTACATAAGCATTCGTTTGTTGAAAGAAAATAAATTGCCAATGCATGTGGCTAATTTGTACAACTTGTTTCTACGGGGCTAGTTGTGTAGTCCCTGGTCCCCATAAGACATTATTGTTCCTGGGTATAGCAATCCCGATTTCTGTGGAAATCATGTTGCTGTATTCTCATACTATTCCCCCTAGTATTCGAATGTGAAATATGTGAATTGGAACACTGGAAGTCTTGCTCCTCTGAGGAAAAATACTTATGAACAGCTTTCCCGTTAGGAACTTTGCCATCGAGCCAAAGGTTATCTAACCATCCCATAGTGGCTTGCTGTTTCAGTGCCTTGTCATTTAAAGGTCTTAACTCTGCTAATAACATTTCCTTTGTAGTATGCTTTCCGTTGCTGCCTTGTTAAAAACCTTTCCAGAAAAATTCAATTTGGACAAAAACTAGACGAAGTAAAAAAGAGTACATAAGATACTTTCGGTATAATCAGGACCCATCAACAATAGTACCTTTTGAGGTGAGTCACGTTCTAGTTGCTTGGCATTTTGATTCCATCTTGATTCTCTAATTCGTATTGTCCCTTCCCAGTGATAGCTGAAATCCGGTAGGGCTATACTATATCAGACCTAGATTTCCAGCATTGATCTCCCGAGTGTTCTGAGTCACTTTCCTCAAAACCAAGTCTCCCACTTTAAAGTATCGGAGATTGGCCCTCCGATTATAGTATATTTCCATCCTTTGTTTTTGAGCCACCATTCTTATGTGCGCCAAGTCCCTGCGTTCATCAAACAGCTCCAATTTGACCAGCAATGCCTCATTATTTGCTTCTTTGTTTGCCCGAAAGTACTACAGGGTCCGTTATCCTACTTCTACCAGGATTAGAGCTTACGCACTATATATGTGAGAGAAAGGTGTCTCTCCCATGCTTGATTTTCCCATCGTTTGGTAAGCCCAAAGCACGCCCGATAACTCTTCGGGCCACTTGCCCTTGGCTGTTTCCAACCTCATTTTAAGGTTATGAATAATCACCTTATTGGTTGATTTCGCCTTCCCATTTTCGCTCGGATAGTATGGTGAATATGTAATTATTTTAATTTTTAGGTCTTCAAGAAATTTTATGATTTTAAAATTTATGAATTGTGGCTCGTTATCACAAGCAATCTTCTTCGGTATTTTGAATCAACAAATTATATTTTCTCACAGGAAGTCGACTACCTCGCGCTCACCGATCTTTTGGTAAGGACCCGATTTAACCCATTTAGTGAACTAATCAGTTAAAATTAAAATAAATCTTACCTTTCTGGGACCTGGCGACATCAGCCCAACTATATACATCCCTCATTTCATAAATGTCCACGAGGATAATACCGAGTGCAGGAGTTCCACAGGTTGGTGCACCAACTGTGCGTGGCACGGACACCTGCCATATTTCTGAATGAATGCCTTTGTATCTTATTCCATCCGGGGGCAATAATATCCTGCCCTTACAAGTTTTAACACCAACGAATCTGCATCGGAGTGGTTCCCATAAATTCTTTCATGTACTTCTCTCATTACGTAGTTTGCGTCTGAGGCTCCTAAATATCGGGCCAACGGGCCTTTGAATGATCTTCATATAACTGTCCACCCCAGAGGTTGTAGCGAGCCGCTTTGGTTCCCAGTGCTCGGGATGCCTTCGGGTCTTTGGGCAACTTGCCATGCTGAAGGTAATCGATGAACTCATTCCTCCAGTCCCAGACTAGGTTAGTTGTATTTACTTCACAATAGTCATCCACATCTAATACCGAATGTATGAGTTGAACGATAGTACCAGAGTCCGAACTTTTCATCTCCGTGGACGACCCCAAATTGGCCAATACATCTGCTTCTACGTTTTCTTCTCTTTGGATGTGTGTGATCGACCACTCCCTGAATCGTGTGAGAAAAGCTTGAACTTTAATCACACACTGCTGCATGTGTTCTTCCTTTGTGATAAAAACTCCTTATACTTGATTTACTACTAGTTGGGAATAACATTTGATTTCGCTGACCTTAGAGCCAAGCCTACGGGCCAGTTCAAGTCCTGTAATCAAAGCCTCATGCTTGGCTTCATTGTTAGTCAACATAATAGTTTTTATGGCCTGCCTCAGGTTTTCCCCCGAAGGCGGGATCAAGACCACCCCGAGCTCGGACCCTTTCACATTGGAATCTCCATCCGTGAACAGGGTTCAAACTCCTGATGTCGTTTCAGACACCATCACCACTTCTTTTTCTTCCAAAGGCAGTTACCCAAGACTGAAATAGGCCACAGAGTCGGCCAAACTTGTGATTTGATTGCAGTCCTGGGCGTATATTCAATGTCAAATTCACTAATTTTAACTACCCATTTGGCCAACCGACCCGATAACTTGGGTTTGTGAAGGACATTCCGTAGGGGAAAAGTTGTCATAACGACTATCGGGTGACTCTGAAAATAAGGCATAGGCTTTCGAGAGACGACTACGAGGGCTAAGGCCAGATTTTCGAGGTGTGGATAATGAGTATCCGCTCCTGACAAAATTTTGCTAACATAATAGACAAGAGATTGTGTACCTTCATCCTCTCGGACTATAGCGGCACTTACCGCTACCTCCAAGACCACCAAGTATATCAACAATTGTTCTCCTTCCCCGATTTTGATAGTAGCGGAGGGCTTGATAAATAATGTTTCAGGTCTTTTAAGGCCTGTTGGCATTATGGAGTCCATTCAAAGTTGTTATTTTCTTAAGAATAGAGAAGAAGTGATGCCATTATTTTGAAGATTGAGAAATAAACCTGCTTAGAGCGGCCAATCTCCCGGTTAGCCTTTGGACTTCTTTCACGCTTGTCAGCTGGTCTGGGATGTCCTTGATGACTTTGATCTTGTCGAGATTTACCTCAATTCCTCTTTATGAAACTAAGAAACCCAAGAACTTACCAGAGCTAACCCCGAGCACTCATTTTTCGAGGTTGAGTTTCATGTTATGCTTCCTCAGGATATCGAAGGTTTCCCAGAGTGTTTTAAATTGTCATCTGCATGCAAAGACTTTACCAACATGTCATCGATGTAAACTTCCATTGTTTTACCTATTTGTTTCTCGAACATCTTGTTCACGAGCCTTTGGTAAGTGTCTCTGGCGTTTTTAAGCCAGAAGGGCATCACATTGTAAAAATATGTGCCAAAGTTTGGTATGAATGAAGTCTTTTCGTGATCCTCTGGGTTCATCTTAATTTGATTAATGTACCCAAAAAAGGCATCGAGGAAACTCATCAACTCGTGTCCGGCCGTTGCATCAATAAATTGATCAATGTTTGGTAGTGGATACGAGTCTTTCAGGCACGCCTTATTTAAGTCCTTTTAATCTACGCACATTCGAAATTTGTTATTCTTTTTTGGAACTACAACTACGTTAGCTAGCTAGTTGGGATACTTTACCTCCCGGATTGAACTGATGTCAAGTAATCGAGTTACCTCTTCCTTAACAAACATGTTTCTGACCTTGACTATTAGGCTTTTCTTTTGCCTCACCGGAGGAATGCTTGGATATAAGCTCAATATATGTATGACCACTTTAGTGGGATACCTGTCATATCCGAGTGCGACCATGCAAAACAATCAACATTAGTTTTAAGGAAATCAATGAACCCTAACCTGAGCTCGGGATTGAGTCTGGTTCCCAAGTGAAAATATCTCTCCAGGAATTGCTCAAACAAAGATACTTGTTCAAGATCTTCTGTCGTGGACTTGGTTGAGTCTGTCTCTTATGGTACCTCATAGTATATCGGTACCTGATGGGATTCCGATGCTCCCTCATCTTTATCATCTTCGCTTGGCCCGGGAGTAGGCGTCGATTCCTATAATTGCTATTTGTTGGGTTCCTTCCCCTCACTTCTGGAGAATGACACTGCATTCATTCCTCTTACTGCTGGCTGATCTCCTCTTATCTGCTTGATTCCCTCTATGGTTGAGAATATTAGCAATTAGTGATAAGGTGATGGTACAACCTTCATCTCATCCAACCATGGTCTACCGAGGATTATGTTGTAACCCATGTCACCTTCCACCACTTCAAATACGATGGGTTTTGTGACCCCTTCGACATTCGTGGGCAACAAGATCTTCTCTCGGGTTGTCACTCTTGCCAGATTGAACCCAGCGAGGAGCTTTGTGGTCGCAACGATGCTTCCGGTTAATTTGGCTTGTTCCAAAACTCTCCATTGAATAATGTTGGTTGAACTTCCTGGATCAACCAAAACACGTTTAATCTTTAAATCTAGAACATTAAGGAAAATTACCAGGGCATCATTATGCGGCAGGAGAAGTCCATCAGCATCTTCTTCCATGAAAGTGATGTCATTTTCGGCCACTTCCTAGAGTCTCTTGATGTGAGTCACTGATACTTTTGTCTTGTCGGTGTGCCGAGAAAGTTACATCGTTAATCTCATTCCCCCCAAAATCATGTTGATGGTTAGTCGAGGACAGTCTTCCCCTATCTTTGAGGGTTCTACGGTGTCTCGGCTGCGGATGTAATTGTTCTTGGTCAGATCGCTCAAGAACTCCGTGAGATGGCCGTTCTTTAGCAGCGTTGCCACCTCCTCGCGCAAATATCGGTAGTCCCCAGTTCGGTTGCCGTGGGTCCCATGATATTCACACCATAAGTTATGATCCCTTTGGCTAGGATCAGATCTAATTGGCTTCGGGATTGGTGCATCTTTGATATTTCTCATGGCTGATACCAGATCCACGACGCTAACGTTGAAATTATATTCTGACAACTAGGGATAAGTGAAATCCCTGGAACCCAATACTTCTTTGTCCAGCAATGACCTGCTGTTTCGACCATGGTCAGTTCTTCTATTGGGGGCAAACCTATCCGTGGACCGGAACCCTCTACTTTCGCATCCTTCAGCTCTCTCATATGGTAATAATCGACCCTTAGAAGATCGACAATCTGCCTCAAAATCATCTTTGAATTTGTCCATATTTTTGTCTCGATCCCGACCCTTTGTTGATGTTGGGAACCCGAGTTGATCATTTTCTATCCTTATCTTTGATTCATAATGGTTATGGACATCTACCCATATGATTGCTTGGAACTTGAACATGCTTTCTTTTAATTTTCGGGAGGCATCGGAGCTTCTCGGGTTCAAACCCTTAGTAAATACCTCAGCTGACCATTCATCTGGCACGACCTGTAACAATATCCTTTATTTCTGGAACCTTATCACAAACTCCCACAACAATTTGGACCCTCTTTGCAAAATTCTGAATATGTCCGCATTCCGGGCCTGGACTTTTCTGGCCCTGGGATGGGCCTTGATGAAAGAATCTAGGAGAATTTCAAAAAAATTAATCGAATGTTCGGGTAAAAGTGAATACTATTTCAAGGCCCGCTTTGTGAGGGTTTCTCCAAAAATTTTCAGTAGAACCGACTCAATCTCATGTTGAGCCAAGTTGTTTCCTTTTACTTTCGTTGTATAAGTTTTGATGTGCTTCTGAGGGTCAGAAGTACCATCGTACTTCGGTATGTCTAGCATTTTGAATCGTTTCAGAATCAATTCTGGTGCTGCGCTTGGTTTAAATAGAAATTGAGTGTACTTCTTCGATTCTGGGCCCTTCAACACTAGTGTTGCGCCCGAAATTTGGTCCATTCAAGCATGGAAATCTTTTGCTTTCTGATCCATCCGCTCGTTCATTTTTCACATGAATCTCATGAATTCGTCTTTGAAGGGGTCATTACTATTATGTTACCGAATTCGCTACCGGACCCCCCGGCTCCGTCAAAGCTGACCTCACCCCTCGGGGTGTTATTATCAACTCTTTGAGCATTGATTTTTAGGAAAGTTGAGAGGAGTTATGTCTCTTTCGTTTGCGTTGTTGGTAGCGCATGATATTGCCTGCTTTAATTCCGTCATTACCTGGTCCTACTTTAAGAGATGGCGTGTGATGGCTTTTTGTTGTTTTCTTAGGATCCTTACGATTTCCGCAACATGCTCGTCATCGGGAGTCATTCCTTCACATGTCAGGTATATTGTCCGCCATGTACCAGAGTTGATACATCCCACTCGATGCGAGTGTCGCTGATTGAATCCTCATGTTGAGGCAGATTTTCGTGTGCCTCAACATTGTGCGCGATATTGACATCGTTAGCTGCCTTTTTTCGATTTTTACTATGAAATAACGAATCAAACAAGTTAGTGATAAATCAATCCTTTTGCTCATCTTTATCCTTTTGCTCATCTAGTTTATCTTTACATAAATCAATCACTGCACAAAGTCTAGTCGACTAAACTCACACCTAGTCAACTAAGATTTTTAAATAGGTTACAATTCACTCCCCTCTTGTACTTTCAATTGGTATCAGATCTAGGCTCGCGAACTTTTCTTAACAACAAATGAGGAAAAAATCATGGGATAAAATACAGTCGTTGGAGCACTATTGCAAGAAGGAACTTCTTAGGTACGACCTCCGTATTTCAACGGACAACACTTTTCTCACTGGAAAGTACGTATGGAGACATATACTATGTCATATGAAATTAAAGTTTGGCGTGTGATCAAAAAGGAAAATTTTCCAATCCCGCCAAAGAAAGATGAAAATGGTCAAGTCATAGTATCAACTGATCCTCTTGATTTATATGATTACACTGAAGAACAATCAGCCATCATAATAATGAATGGTAAAGAAAAACATTTGATGTACAATGCTATAAGTGGAGAAGAATATGAAAAGATATCAAGCTATAAAACTGCAAAGGAAATGTGGGATAAATTGGAGGTCACATATGAAGGAACCAACAAACTGAAAGAAACAAGGATCAATCTCCTAGTTCGAGACTATAAATTATTCCAAATGAAGGATGAAGAATCAGTAGAGGAAATTTTCTCCAGGTTTAGCAAAATCCTTGGAGACTTAAAGTCATTTGGTAGACCAATCAAAAGCGGAGAACATGTCAGAAAAATTCTAAGAAGTCTTCCCACGATTTGGCAACCCAAAATCATTGCTTTGGAATGTCAAGATCTTGACATAATATCCTATGATGAACTTAGAGGTGATCTAATTGCATTTGAGAAAACACACTCAGACAGGTAGACTCAACAAAAAAAGAAGAAGACAGTTGCATTCAAAGCAACTGTGGCTGAACCAGAAAATGAAGAAGAAGAGGAAGGATGAGAACAAGATGAAAACATAGTTATGCTCTCTCAAGTTGTAACAAACATGATGAGAAAAAACAGAAATAGCAGGAGAGGTAAATCAAACTTCAGAAAAGGAAGGATGAATAATGATAATTACAAAAATGATGGAAGATGCTATGAATGTGGAAAACATGGACACATTCAAGCTGAATGCCCTGAACTGAAAAAGAAACTCAGCAGGAACTTTCAAAAGAAGAAATCCTTTGGAGCTTGGAGTGATGAAGAAGAATTTGATCACGAAGAAATCGCGGTGAAAACTCAGGTAAACTTGGTCTCATGGCAGACTAAGGTACTATCACGACCCAAAATCCCAACATGTCGTGATGACGCCTATCTCGATACTTGGTAAGCCGATAATCTCAATAAACTACAATTTATCTTAAGTTTGAAAATATAATATTTAAATACTATATAAAATCCCACAAATACTGATATGAACACTCCCCAACACCTGGTGTCACTGAGTACATTAGCATCTAATATGAATATAAGTCTAGAAAAATACGGTCTATAATATTGTGATGACCCAAAAGGTCATCTTATGTTTTAAAACTCGAATCTGCGCTCTTAAGCCTTAAAAATCTCATTTTTACCCTCCTATATTTGCATGCACAGTCCGGACAGGTTTGCGGAAAGCTTTTATGTTGAAAACTAATAAAAATAAGAATTTTTGCGTTAAAAGTTGATTTTAGTTGATTTCGGTCAATATGTTTGGTAAACGGGCCCGAATCTGTGTTTTGACGGTCCCGTTAGGTCCGTATCAAATTATGGGACCTGGGCGTATGCCCGGAATCGAATTCGGAGGTCCCTAGCTCAAGTGATGAATTTTTGATGAAAATTAAAAGTCTGAAAATTAATTATTTTTAATAATTGATTGACGCTTGGCATTTTTGGTATCGGGTCCGTATTTTGGTTCCGAAGCCAGGTACAATTTCATTATGATATTTAAGACTTCTCTGTGAAATTTGGTGAGAAACGGAGTTGATTTGACGTGATTCGGACGTCCAGTTGAGAAATTAGAAGTTTTAAAGTGTTCTTGAGAATTTCATTTGAATTGGCGCTAAATTTAGAGTTCTAGGTGTTATTTTGGTGATTTGATCGTGCGAGCAGGTCCGTATGATATTTTTAGACTTGTGTGCATGTTTGTTTTGGAGCCCTGAGGGCTCGGGTGAGTTTTGAATAGGCCACAGGATGTTTTGGACTTGGGAAAAAAATCTGGTTTCTGCAGATTCTGGTGTCTGTCATATCCTTCTTCGCGTTCGCGAAGGTCCTCTCGCGAACGCTAAGAGTAACCTGATGAGGCTGAGATTTCTTCTTCGCGAACAGGAAGGCCTGGTCGCAAACGCGAAGTGATGGGGGATTTACCCTTCGCGAACGCGACCGGCTCAACGCGAAGCATGTGGGGACCTGGGCGGGGGGGAGCTTTGGTCGTTCCTTCATCACGAACGCGAGCAACGTCTCGCGAACGCGAAGGCCAGGGGGAGTAACCATCGCGAACACGAGCCGGGTCTCGTGAATGCGAAGGCTTGGCAGTCTGAACCCTTCGCGAACATGACAGTAGCTTCGTGAACGTGATGCACACTGTCGCCCAATACTTAACAGAACCCAAAACGGGATTTTTGCCAAAAAACTCATTTTTCTCAAAAACCAAACGGTGATGGGCAATTTTTCAAGAGTCATTCCTTCCCTAAATTGTTGGTAAGTGATTCTAAACCATTTGCTTTCAATTACCCATTACATTTCTTGAATTTTCAACCTAAAATCTAGAGTTTTCATGGTAGAATTAGGGGTTAGGGTAGAAAATAGGGATTTTAGGAATTTGGGGATTTAGACCTCAATTTGAGGTCGGATTCCAAAACTAATTACATATTCGGACTCGGGGGTGAATGGGTAAAAGGATTTTTGTCCGAACCTTGGGTTTTGACCAAGCAAGCGCGGGGTCAATTTTTTGACTTTTTGGAGGAAAATTTGGGAAATTTAATTTATGCAATATAATTGATTCCTTTAGCAATATTTGATATTATTGAGTCATTTTTGAATATATACGAGTGGTTTGGAGGTGAATTCCAAAGAAAAAGCTGTGATTGAGAATTAAGTGGCCTTCGGAGCGAGGTAAGTGTTGTGTCTAACCCTGACTTGAGGGAAT